TGAGATTAACAGTGTTAAGTAAGTTCCTTTCACCAGAGGAAGAACGGTGAAGCCAGTTACTATTAAAGTCACCCAATAATATCATTTCATTTTGTTTTTTAAAAGAACTAATAGTAGCTAGAATACATTTCATTGAGTCAGCAGGGGCAGATGGGGGTCTGTAGATATTTGTAATAGTTAAGTGTTTGTTATCATGAAAGTAGATATCAATAGAGTAGACAAACACTCAAAGTGAACTGGCTCAACTGTTGGATAAATACGTACTGATTTTAAGTTGGTGGATACATATGTTGCTACCCCACCTCCTCTTGAGCCTCGATCCGCTCGATACAAAACATAACCATTAATTATTAACTCTTCATCCAGAATATTACTGTGGAGCCATGTCTCAGATACGGTAATTATATTAGGTTTATATTGATGAGCCCATCGTCTAAGAGAGTCAATTTTTGAAATAATACTCCTAATATTCAGATGAATAATCTTCAGACCCTTAGCGGTCTCTATCATTTACTACTATTACTACTATTACTAGCAGGTGGAGGAGCAAACATGGAGGAGCAAGAACATACCAGACAGACAGACACACAAACATACAGACAGACAGACACAAATACACAGACAGACGCAGACACACAAACACAAAAATAGAAAAAAAGAACAAGAGAACATGAGCCAAGCTCAGTCTGCATTTAGTTTCATTAACAAATGCGTTGAAGGCCTTAACAAGTTGCACATAGAAAGCACTTCGTATAAACTAAAATTAATAACTCAGACAGTAATCATTTAACTAAGAATCATCAAAAGAGAAACGCCTAGAGCATCTAGATAAAGTACATGATAAGAAAATAATAAGAGTTTCCTCTATCGTTTAAGTCTCGGTGACGTCACTTCTTTGCGACAACAGCGCAACACTGACAGTAGCGATTTACGGCAAACAAAAAGCGAATGCAACAAGCAGCTCAGACAACAGTGATTCATGGTCACATATCAGCTTTATCAAATGGAGAAAAAAAACAACAAAAAGTGTCAAAGAGACGTTGCACTGTTCCGTGGGGAAAAAAGAAAAAGAAAATAACAAGATACAACCCGTGCAATGAGGAGAAGTCACCGTTTATGAAGATCCTCTCTTACTCTCGAAAAACTTTTCTGCATCCTTGGGACAGCGGAACAAAGTTGACTTCCCATCAACAGTGACACGAAGCGTGGCTGGATACTGGAGAGCATATTTGATGTTCATCTCTCGGAGTTTCGTCTTGATGGGGTCAAACAAACGCCGCTTCTGAAGAAGAGCTGCACTGTAATCCGGGAAAATGTGTACTCGCGAACCTTCAAACTGCAGCTCTCCTTTATCACGGGCCAGTCGGAGAATCTTCATCTTATCTTGGGCATTAAGGAACTTGACCAATATAGGTCTGGGCCAGCTTTTGGCGTCAGATTGTTAGTAAGTAAGTTAGTAAGTTTTTATTTATATACCGCCTTTTCACTGCAGATCTGAGTCTCAAAGCGGTTTACAATTGTTAATTTTGGGCATTTGTCTCTCACTCCACACAGAGATGGGAGCGGGGTCGCCAGTACAGGAGGCGCATGCTAGAACTATTGGACATATTTTTAGTGGTAGGGGAAACCGGAGTACCCGGAGGAAACCTACGCAGACACGGGGAGAACATGCAAACTCCACTCAGAAAGGCCCTGGTCCGACCGGGATTCGAACCCAGGACCTTCTTGCTGAGAGGCGAGAGTGCTATCCACTCAGCCACCGTGCTATCCACCGAGCCGCTCATTGTTTTGTCGTAGGAGTACGATGCGCCCGCTCAATGACTGGCGGTGCAGAGAAGTTATCCGCGCCGAGAAGATGAGGAAGCAACCTCTGAATGAAGACAATCATGTCAGAACCCTCGGCTTTCTCTGGGATCCGCAGAAAGCGAAGGTTAGATGAACGACTTCTGTTCTCCAGATCTTCAGCTTTGTCCCTCAGGTAAGCGTTTTCCTTCTCAATACACGTCACTCGGGTTTCCATGCTGGTTATATGGTCTTCATTGACGCTTACTCTTTGCTCCATACAAGACATCTGCTCGTTCATTGTAGCCAAAGATCCCTGTATATTAATCAGCGTCGATTGAAGTTTGCCAATCTTGGAGTCAAAGTAAGTTGTCAAGTAAACTTGCATCCGCCCGAGAGCCTCGTTGATGTCTGGAGCATTAGCCATTGTGGAGAGTAGATAAGTTCTCACGGTAATATAAACAGACAGTGTATATGCAGATATATGTGAATTGTTAAATGGCAAAAATGGATAGAGGATTATAGTGATCACATTGGCCTCTAATAAATTAAATCAAATGCAGACCTGCTCCGCAAACTTTTCACACAGCTGAACGTGCGGCCATCTTGCGATGGCCATGAGGGGCTGGTGAGTCCCTGGTGATATACATATATACACATATATACATATACATATACACATATACATACATAAATATATATATATATATACATATAC